GTACCCACAGTGAATGTAGTAACCACAGGAGTGTGGGACAGGGTGGTGGAAGACGGAAAACCTGAAACTTTAAGAAGGGAGGCGTCAGCAGTAGCACGTTTTTGCTTACCTGCCCTGCTTTACGCAGCAAGTAAGGCTTTCGGCTGATGGCGGCATGAAAGTACTGTTATCTGTGGATTTCATGTTTGTGCATGGCTACTGAGAGAACATATTCAAAGATGGAACTCCAAAACAGGGTGGGCACCGTTCACGTTCGCCATCCAGGGTCCCACGTTGGCTGTGGGCTCCAAATGTGCGGCAGCTGATGGCCACGGTAGCTGTTGTTCACAGTATCTGGACCACCTGTCCAGGCATCCTTCTTTGTTTACGATGGCTGTTCACTTCTGATCGTTAATGGTTTCGCCCACAGGTGGTTTCAGTAGACCGGTCGCGTGGATCAAATAAAATAATCTTCGAGCATTACAGGCCTTTTGTGCCTCTTCCGTTTCTTTGGCTTTCCGTGCCCACAAGGATTGAAGGTCAGCTCGCACGCTCACCTCCGCTTGACTTCTGATAATTCGTCGAGTCAAGTTATGCGGGCGAGTCGGCCGTAAAATCTGGTGGACACGGGAAGCCTCTTCGAAGAGGCACAGAAACCGATAATACCCGAAGGCAATTTCACTTGATCCACGCGATCTCTAGTAACTGTGTACCATAGACTAATCGGTTCCTGCTTCTACAGTGTCGATCACCGGGGAACGGGAGTACGTGGAGTATACAACCAGAAAGTGAGGGGCTAGTTCGGTTAGTTCGGGAACTGGGAAGCTGTGAGAGAAGGCAGTCTTGTCTTACACCACGGGATGTGGTGAACCCAAGCGAAAGCTTGCCGTGTATTCGTACGTGTCCACAGCAGTTCGCACACAGTGCCTTCTCAAGGGATATAAATTTGAAAGTGACATCTTTGGTAGCCGAGCATTCAAAGACGCTGACGATCGACAGAGTCAAAAGGTTGGAGGTGTGCCGCTGTTCAAGAACTTGTATCATGGTAAAGACATGGTCCACTGGCATTCTGTTTTGCTCGAGCTACCAAGATTACTGCCCGGAGCCGAAAACTTGAAGAGGAGTGCTACATCCTTTTTTCACTCGTGCCCTTCAGGTAAACAGGAAGAGCTGGATGACAGCAAAAAATCCGAGCACAGAAGTTTTGGCGAAAGCCTCGATCCTGTGCATTAATTGATGAATCCGTGAAAAGCAACCATAAAGTCTTCTTGAGTTTGTGGTAATAACGACAGCACGGCTCCAAAATTTTAGTGACGGAATAACCTGAACCAACTAACCCCAGCGGCTTCACAGCGAACAACCTAGTGGGAAGTCATAATCTCAGATTAAACATAGCGACACCTGAAACGCGTTTATGATCCTGAATCAAGCCATGGGGGCGATGGTTAGTATCCCAAGAAGCTGGATCGTCGAGCACTGCCTGCGGTCACCGATTGGCTGCATGAACGTCGAATCGAAAGCTGACATCTCTGGCCCAGAGAATTGGCAGTCCTCCTATAGCACTACTGGTTTTTTGTCGTTTCATCAATACTAAGCCGCATCTATAATACTTCATTGGAACCGCAACCCAGAGGAACAACTCACAACTTTTTCACATTTGATGCCATCAGATCGAAATAAGTTTTTGTTATTGCACTACTCATAAGGTTGCTGAAAAGTCCTCGACAGCCTACGACCGGTTTTGCCCTTCTTGGGGACCATCAGGTAGGCGCAGTCCCCGAATTTTCGTCAACTTTATATTCTACTTGAAACCAAGGTTTTGTCAAACTTTGTCTAAACATCTTGGAAGTCTAATTTTCGGCGCATGACTAATTTTTTAAGGGATTCCATGGCTCATAGTGACCAAGCTTTGAAGTTAGCTTTCTCAGACACTTCTCTTTCTTCCATCTGAATGCTACACAAAGACGTAGAGGGTTGAGGCCCTCTTCCAAGTTTCCTGGTCCGGTTTTGTTCCTGTCGTTCAGCGGCTGCCGTTTACCTGAAAGGCGCAAGCAAAAAAGGTCTAGCATGACAATGAGCTTGCCAGAACGGGGACGCGCATCAAAGATTGTCTGTTAACGCTTCGAACAGGGTCCTAGATGGAGCCTTGACAACTGTCTTGGTAGGGCTACTCGACGCAGTGATTACCCGGAATAAGAAAAAATGCGCCAAATGAAGTGTACGCCATGAGCTCTGTGTGCCGCCGTGTGTTTACTGGGACAACGGCGAAAAACCTGTTGGCAAAACCTTGTTCAAGCAGGTCATAATTAAAAAGCAGGTCCCTACAGAGGTGACGAAACTCCAGGGGAACGAGGCCAAGCACCACGAGACGCGTTTCATTGTCCGCGGATTTAAGGCCGGCAACCATTTTTGTGGCAGCTCGCCGGACAGACTCAATAAGAGTCACGTCCTTCGTGCGTTCTGAGTGGACAACTTGTTTGGCATATTCAAGAAGCGGTGTGATGTAGGCCCCACAGAATATTTGGAAGTGCATTCTAGTAATACAAAAGGAGGTGCGCCGATTCATCCTCAGAGTGCCGAATGCCTCTTGAGCCGATTTCCCCTGATAAAGTGAGAAGGACATGGTTCAAAAGAGCCAAGCAATAAAATCCTTTTTAGCATCTATCCTCGCTATATCTTCCGGTTCATTCTCACACTGTGGACATAGTCCCCTGCAAATTGGGACGCACTCCTATACGAACGCATTTTTCTTCATTCACAGGAGGGGGCCGGTTTTCAAATTGGGACGCACTCCTATACGAACGCAGGAGGGGGCCGGTTTAACAACCACTGCTTTGCAGCGTCTACACCTAGTTGGCGGGCGCTGGCACTAGAACTCTAGAAATTCATTTCCTCCAAAAAACGCAGGCACTGGCTTGCAGAAACTTCTGGATGGTCGTTGACGTATATCACATACAGCAGCGGTCCCAAACCGGAGCCTCAATGAACTCCAATGGAGGCTGGCGTTGGGGAAGAGTAGGTCGAGCGTATTTTCCTTCGAAATGTTCTGTCTGATAGGAACGCCCCAATCCAGTTTAGAATTGCCCTTGAATCTCATATGACCCGAGTTTGTGGAGCGATGGAACGTGTGAGACTCGATCGAATTGTTTTGAGAGGCCAAAAAGTGTGGCACCTGACACGAGACCCTTGTCTTTGACTTGTGCTAAGTCTTCCATAAATACGAGTATGTTCATGTAAGAACGGTTGAACTGGGAATATCAAGTTGTTGGAAATAAAATGGTCTAAAATGGATTGCTCCAGAATGTATCTAATCACCTTGCATGGTACGCTAGTGAGGCTGATGGGCGATATTCGTCGTGACAATCGCCTTTTTCCAAGCATGGGGAAGGTGACTTTCGTCAAGCGATTGACAAAACAACAGGTTGAAAGATTTTACCAGTGTAGACGACATTTCCTTCAAGATATTTGGATGGACCTCCTCAGGCCCAAATACACAGAACGGGCTGGTCTTGCACAAGAATTGAAGAATGTCCCCCACTGTGAAGGCCCAGACGGTTCGAGACCATTTGTAGTTACATCTTGACGAGGAAGCTGGTGCTGAATATAGACCTGTGTGGTGTTTTCTGCAGACCTCAGATACCATCCTTGGGTCACTTGTGTACCTCAATGAGAACTCAGTTGGTGTGTTTCTGCTGCAGACAGAACATTTCTGTTTTCCGGGCGTATTCTAGAGTAGTGGCGTGTTTCCGTGTGTTCCATCGACGGATCTCTTATTTATAGCGGTTCCGCGTTTTACGAAGTGCCAGTGCATTTTGTGACTCCTGTGGTCAACTTTTTGAAAAATAACTAACACCTCCTTCCCGGAAGACGCTGACTCCCTTCAGGTAGCCAGCGGCCTGTCAGACCGCTTGCTGTATTTTGGGACGATCGCATCGGCTCCGTAAACCTGGACAATTGCCCTATAGATTAGTCTCCCACAGAAGCTGGTGCCAGTTTTGTTTGCTCAATAAAGAAGTGCATTCCTTGGAAGTCTGCACGGCAGAGGTTTCCTACCCATACTTGAGGTTAAGGATTTCTGGCCCAGTGGCAGATGAAATCAAGAGTCAGCACACGGTGGTCATTGTGTCCCATTAGAGCCTTAATTATCGACTGATCATCGAAGTGTCTTTCTTTGGTGATGACCAGACCCAGGAGGGATGGATTATGGCGTACATGGTACTTGGAGGGTGCAACATTTTAAGTCCAAGCACTCCATTGTGCGACTTTTGTCGGTGCCTCCGCAAAACGTCCACTTGCCACTTGTCCTTGGGGGTGGAATTTCGACAGTTCACATATTCTACATGACAAATCATTTTATCGCTGCGGCGGGAGCCCGGGCCTTCATATCCCAGGGACCGGTCGTGGTTTTCCAGATGAGGGCATTTTTAATAACAGACTTTCGAACTTCCACCGGGCATCCAGCGAGGTCTTACCCTATCTTACTCTCACCAGTATCGAAACCTTACCATCTGCGGCGCACTCATCCAATCAGCAGGTTTATTTTCAACAATGGCTGAAATGAAATCAATACAGAGGTGCAGAACACAGTGATATGTGGGGATCTGGTGGCGATCTCCACGTGAGTTTGTGGAGGTACTAAACATCGAAGGCATCTAAAACTACGTTTAAGTTCGAATTCCAGTGTTGAGTAAGTGTTCGTTTGTCCTTCACTTGCCAATGGGGCTTGAATGCCTTCGTTTCTCGCAAGACCGCGAAAAGTATGCTGTGTTCTTAACGCCGTCTAATCAGTCGCTAACAGGAGGTAAACCGAAGTTAATTTCGCCGAAAATATCACGTTTTTGAAGTTACGAATTTTATAGAAGGTTAATTAATCGAGTTGCGCTTTTTAGCGGCATGTTTTATTACAGCATTTAGTTGAACCGAGTGAGCTTTCAAGGTCACTGTCCGCCGCCGACTCGTGCGTGATTACAGGTTACGGTGTAAAAGTCGAAATAAAACCGTAGCATATTCTAAAGTTCAGTTATGTAATCACCGGCTGCTTGCGCGATTTATCAGCGTGTGCGTTGTCCACATATATCAGTGATACCTAAACGGGCCCACAGTAATGATGAAGAGCGATGCAGTCAAAAGGGAAAATTTTATTGTGCTGGCATAGTTTGTATGAAAGTAGACAGGGAAAAATTTTTGTGAGTTTGCGATCACATCATCATCCACTGAGAGAATGACGCATTTTTCATCTTCGTCCGATCTCTACCCTCGGATATACGTATTCGGTGGATAATTCGGCCTTTTCGGATACCCGGTTGTAGGTTATTAAAATCACGATAGCATTCACATTCAAAACAATGACATCGCGTACCTGGAATACGTCATAAACTGCAACAACACTGTCCAAAAACAGGCCCATCCGCTGATCTTGAGGTGACCTTCATCATTATGAACATGTGTTATCGCTCACCTTAGCTACCTGTTGTAACTGCTGGGTCCACACCTATTCACGACGCTGGTTACAAGTATTCAGCTTTGTCCGCTGGGATTGTGTCTGATTCAAGAGAGTAGCCACCTTATTGTACTCTCTGCTCATACCAACCACAAACCCACATAACCATCGATGACTCACCAAATCGCTATAGATGAATCCTTGCCAGGCACTTAAACAGCTCGTGCCGATTGTCACAGAAAAATCCAAAAGTTTACTGCTCCAGCGAATTTATGAACTTTTCCTGGTGGGATGCTTGCTTATAAAAGGAAAAAATTGGGCATAATTTGCGAACGGCTGCTCAGCAAGGACAGCACAATTATCGTTGGTGTATCTTCTTAGAATATCTACGGATTAAAAGCAGCAGAAAACATTTGAAGGGACCAACTTCACCACAAAATTTCAAGGCACCTTCACGTAGACATCAGGTCGGTGTCTGATGGTCATTAAGGATATGGATTACGCGCCCAAAGTAAACCTCAAATACGCTCAGACAAATTTTATAAAAACTGCCACGATGTGCAAAGATTTCATGGTTTCGAATAAATACTGTCAAACGCTAAATGTTTGCGTAAATTTTTTCATCTCTCAGATGATGTTTTCGGAGAGATATGGGATGTGCGCCTAAAGATCGGCACCTAGTTATGGCCCATTTGACCACGTTTATATTGCCTACGCATAGCATACTACTTCGTTTACGCGTTTTCAAACACCACCAGCGTCGATATCACAGATGACCCGGTTGTTTTGGTATACCTTTTGCATATTGGGCACAAACTGTAAACCCTCCCTGTGACGGACATGAAAAAAAGGCTGGTCGTGTGTGCCACCTTGAAGGCGCGCACTGTTCGGATGACGGGTAAACCCTACGAAATCAAAACCTTCGTACTGGAGAGGGTTAGAGGGTCCAGAAAGTCATCGAACACATGTGGTTCCCGGGTAGATACGAGGCTCACACCGCCTGACACTGCGACGGGGATCTCATCCTCATTTGACCGCGCATACCCATGCTGAAATACCATCGAGCAACCGACACAAGCTGAGAAACAGACAGCCGGTAAAATTCCGTTTCACAATGTCAACAACTTGGCTAGGGCCTGTGCTTGATGATATGGTGACTCGTCATGCTCTATCGATTTGGGAGTTCCTCAAGGGAAAGCATGCCAGGGCCACTGGAGTGTTACCCAAACAATGCGAGGTGTTACCATATTGTTGCGTGTTACCATCGTGATACACTTAAGAACCGAGCACGAGCTTAGTCTCAGAACCTCATTGCGATTAATGCGGACCATGATGTAAGCTTTGAAAGTCCTGGGATGCGCAAACAATTCAAGCCTGTGAGTATAGACAATAACACGATACACTAGCACCTTAGGACTGTGTGAAAGAATGAGCCGAAAATTTCTGGCTGTTGGTTCTTCGAGGAAACCTAAGAGACCAAAAACCTTAAACGCTACTGAATGGACAAAGCACTGACATTCCGCAAATCTACTGCAGAACCTTTCCTCATTGCTGTGTCCATGATGCTTATACTTTTCCGCTGGAGAAACAGTGATGACATATGTAGAGCCCCGTAAATTATCCATCCGACGCGCTGGATGGAACCAGTTCGAGTCACAGTGACCACCGTTGGCAGCATTTCCTTCAGTGGCTGCGAGACGTTAGTTGTCTTCGTCTGAGGACCTTCAGAAAGCATTTTCTGGCTACATATATGCATGAATTTCGTTCTTGCTTCATCTTGCCCTAGCCGGTATTTTGAGTTTCACCACCACCACATGCAACACTGGTGTCAATGCGCACCTCATCCGGGTGAAAGCGTTTGTGTAAGCTGTCGTTGATGAGCCCATTCTACTAATGCTATGGCACCAGTTTTCATTCTGACCAGATTTCCTGCCGGAAAGTGCAACGACCACCTCCTCGTTTTGTGATAGCCAGCCGGTATTTTGAGTTTCACCACCACCACATGCAACACTGGTGTCAATGCGCACCTCATCCGGGTGAAAGCGTTTGTGTAAGCTGTCGTTGATGAGCCCATTCTACTAATGCTATGGCACCAGTTTTCATTCTGACCAGATTTCCTGCCGGAAAGTGCAACGACCACCTCCTCGTTTTGTGATAGATAACGCAAGTAATCATTCGGATTCAAGGTTTTCTTAGGACCGTTCGCTGCGAAGCCGCTCACTCACTCCTAGGGACCTTGGAATTCGTAGTGCGGTTTCATTTTACAGAGCATGACAGGAAATGCGATGATTGGTTGCCCTTTCGGCAAGGTATTTCCTGCACCGCTATACGTCTTTGGTTTCTTGGGTGCAAACCGTAATTATATTTTCCGGAGAGGTGATAAATTAACGCGTAGACTCCTTTGTACATGACCACTTAATTCGTGGGCCATTTTTCGGAGAGCCACTTGTCCAAATGAGCCAATTTTCAACGTCGGCAAACACCATAGAATGGAAATTCATTAGTGAACATCAACCCTTCCTAACAGAGAGGGGTAAACTTCACCGTCAAGCTACCGTTAACAAAGGTCATCGATAACAAAATCGGCAAAATTTAGACGACGATTTTGTTCACGAACATCCGGAGCCGTTATTGACGTACCGACACGTGGCACGTCGATATGGTGAGAAAACACGGATTCGCATATACTCACGACTTCTCGTGTGTCACCACAACATGGAGTGTTGCAACATCTTGAAACACCGGTTTACGCTGCCAGGCGACTCCCCCGAACATACGGCGTTTTGACATATTTTACGTTTAAGTGACTCAACAAACTGACAAAAAATTGAGTTGAAGTAAGCTATCAATGTAACCTCAATACGTGTAAATCTTGCCGCTGGGTATTAAGATCCTTACTCACGTAGTTTTTACCACGGCCCGATGGAGATTCACTGTTGGTATTCAGCTTCCAAAGAAATCAATGAAGTAGACTGAATGAGGAAAATTGTCCTGAATGTATCTGGGAATGAAAAAACTGCAAAATCTTGTGAATGCAGCCTTCATTTGCGCGTGTGGCGAGCATTTCGGCGTAGCAAGCTGAAATTAACCTTACCTGACAAGGTAAAGTACATACAGAACAATAATGAGTGCGTAAATTTCTCATTGGTCTTTATTCTTATCTTGTTCAAAGGTGCATAAACACAGAAGGAAGACCATAAAAATCTGGTCTCTACTGAAATATTTGATGATCAGATCACTCAGCGTGCCAAATGCCACGAATGTCGATGTATAAAGTCGCACAGACCCTCAAGCCACGTGCTTATTCCTCCCACAACATAAAATGCAGGACAGACTATTTTGGATGGGCTAAAATGCTTTGAATTCAATCCATATCGCGCTTGTATGATACGCCTCCCCGAGCTATTTCACCTAAACTGTTCAGTTGTGCCAACTATCTTTACGAAATTGGCGGTCATTTTACTTCTCCATCGTGTCTCAATATCGGGAAAAGTCAAACATTTCGCCTAGTCCTTAATTTCGTTCAGATTTGGCCATCAATACGACGTCCATCGGTACAAATATTTTGAGGACTGATACATGTGTCTCGGTTCACCCACCAATGACTTCAAAGTGTCTACTTTTTTTTCTCCTTCCCCAATTTTTCCTGTTGCACTGCATATAAAATTATAAGCTTATCATTGTGAGCCCTGTGCGTCTATCCGTTGCATTCAGTATTGAAAACGAAATAGAGGGATCATTTTATGAATCCACGTTTGATTCTGGTGCTGGAGCTATTTCGACGTTTGGTAACAGATGGATTAAGCTTCACCTTTGGCCCCCTTTGCTCCCCCTAATTCTATGCTAATGTCCCTGGAATTTGCTGGGATTGTTTCCGGTCGTGAACGTTTCCCAAAAGCAAGGCTGTCTGAAGCGAGCGCGTTTAGACAATGAAACATCCAGGCATGTTACTGTTTCGGGCTAAGGTTTGATCATTATAAGTAAAGATCACAATATCATTTTTATTGGACTCAAATCTTCTGCTTGGTTCATGCTATATAAACACATCAATGATTAGTGAATGGCATTTGGGCTTGGGATTTGTCCGCACAGGCGAGACACCAGTGCTCTCCCGCTATGTTGGTCGTGACCTACGCTCAATTTTAGATTTTACTAAAATCTCCAGCGCTCAAATTGAGTCGCTGCGTCCTCGGTTCCCATTGATTATCATCTATAATCGCAATCTTCGGTGAACTCCAAGGCACGTGGCCCCACGGCGTTGTGCGCGGGAAGCGCAGTACTGTTATGATACTTACCTAAGTGGGTACGAGATAATGGTACCTTATTTTTAGCGTGCTACCGGCCGTCGCTTTAATAGCTTCATGCTGTGCCTTGCCGACGGACTTACAGGTAACCGTGTGTTATTTCAACGATAAGTATTCTATGATCCGTGGTGTTTGCATCGCTCGCCAACAATAACATTTCCTGCTCAGCTCAAATGACCAGTGCCATCCAAATAAAACGCCGACAACAGATTTACATATTCCAACAAAAAGGATACTGATGCCGTGTGATGTGAACAACTCTGGATGTTACTTGGTCACTTCCCTGGTTTTCGGGCTCGGAGCAGCTGACACGCCATATACTGTGTTCAAAGTAGACACGTCGAACGTGTGCCCACAAAAATATGAGAATAAAGCCTTCCAAAAAATCTCCAAGGCTCACCAGATATCACCAGAAACAACTAAACTATCGAAAATGCCCTTTCCACACCCGTCCAACTTGTCCGACCATTTCTGCACCCGCTTCACAACTTGGTCAACCAGGTAGCAAAATTTTTCCAACAGTGGGTGTCACACGATTTCATTATATGCACCCTAACATTAGGATGGCCTGGGCACCATTTTCCCTTTTCCGGGAAGGCGGAGTACCTCCGTAATCTCGCTGGGTATGGCGTGCACTAAACTGCGAACTGCAGGTTGTCCCACAATATGGTTAATGGTATGGTAACAAATACTGTCAGAACATTCATTTAATAATGTTTATCTAGACCTTGTGAGTGGCATACTGTCTGGCATGATCATATGTTTACTGTCAGAATGAAGCATGACTGGGGGGTTTGTGGGGTACGGATTGCATAAAAGGAGGAAAACGTCATAAAAGTGGGGAATATCCGACTAAATAATAATACGTTTCTTTCACAACTTGTTGGGAACAATGTGCATGAAGTCCGACTAATTCAAAGACAGCCAACTGGCATGAACTAGAACTGAAAACCATTGCCGGCCACGGGTTACCTTGGGCTGTCGGGTAAATGGCCGGAGTCAACGAGTAACAGTGGATATGGAGATGGAATAAATTAGACTGAAGGCACGTGGTGAGTTTTGTCTCAAAAATGTGTGCAGTCTGACACTAAACAGATTCACTGGTTGAACTGCTGTAGGGAAGTTCGGTGCAGAGGATAGGTTCGATGTGGACAGGTTGCTAATACATAGGGCGATCCGAACACTGTATACGGATTTGAACTTGTGGAATGGGCAAGCTGAAACCGTAGCGGAAAAACTGAGCTAGCCAAATATGAGCGAAAATTCAACAGGTATGAACGAGCTCGTCCCAGAGACGGGGTCGGATAAAAATTTGCTTGTAGTCGCGACTACAGGCTTGATTAGTCGATGGGTTGCGGCCAAGATTCTGAAGAAAATAGCCGCGGGAGTGCCGTCCCACTTAGAATGACAGTGCCGTGCCATCATTTGACTGACAAGCTTCGGTTTATGGACAGCACCGCAACGGTATTCAAGGGATCGGAGAAGGGATACACAATTCTGGGTGAGATAAAGAATGACGCGTCAGGCGGAAATAGCCGCGGGAGTGCCGTCCCACTTAGAATGACAGTGCCGTGCCATCATTTGACTGACAAGCTTCGGTTTATGGACAGCACCGCAACGGTATTCAAGGGATCGGAGAAGGGATACACAATTCTGGGTGAGATAAAGAATGACGCGGAGAATCAGGCGGATGCAGGCTCACGGATAATTTCCCTTTCTTTGGAGGACCGTATGGATAAAGACCGGACACCAGCCAGTTTGAATGAATAAGAGTTCCGCGGGCGTTTGAGCAACCGCAGCCGAGGTTTGAAGCTTAAGGAGAGGAGCAACGAGAAAGAGGTAGAATGAAAGCAGTGTGACGAGTGTCAGGAGGCATATGATGCAATGTTGTCAGTAGAAAAAATCTAAAAGGAGTTGACAGCCGGCTAAATGGATCCATGAAAGGACGACACGCTTTCTGATCTAGAAACTAAGTAATAGTTGGGCCAGAGCAGGTGCCTAGTTTTAGGAACGTGAGAACTTTGTCGAGGTAGCTAGCATGGGGGCTAACTGTTGGACTAGTTGAAAACGGGCGGTAGAGTTTGGCCTACCAAATCACCATGTTATAGGGTCCTCGTAGCGGAAAAACTGAGCTAGCCAAATATGAGCGAACATTCAACAGGTATGAACGAGCTCGTCCCAGAGACGGGGTCGGATAAAAATTTGCTTTTAGTCGCGACTACAGGCTTGATTAGTCGATGGGTTGCGGCCAAGATTCTGAAGAAAATAGCCGCGGGAGTGCCGTCCCACTTAGAATGACAGTGCCGTGCCATCATTTGACTGACAAGCTTCGGTTTATGGACAGCACCGCAACGGTATTCAAGGGATCGGAGAAGGGATACACAATTCTGGGTGAGATAAAGAATGACGCGGAGAATCAGGCGGATGCAGGCTCACGGATAATTTCCCTTTCTTTGGAGGACCGTATGGATAAAGACCGGACACCAGCCAGTTTGAACGAATAAGAGTTTCGCGGGCGTTTGAGCAACCGCAGCCGAGGTTTGAAGCTTAAGGAGAGGAGCAACGAGAAAGAGGTAGAATGAAAGCAGTGTGACGAGTGTCAGGAGGCATATGATGCAATGTTGTCAGTAGAAAAAATCTAAAAGGAGTTGACAGCCGGCTAAATGGATCCATGAAAGGACGACACGCTTTCTGATCTAGAAACTAAGTAATAGTTGGGCCAGAGCAGGTGCCTAGTTTTAGGAACGTGAGAACTTTGTCGAGGTAGCTAGCATGGGGGCTAACTGTTGGACTAGTTGAAAACGGGCGGTAGAGTTTGGCCTACCAAATATGTTTGTTATAGGGTCCTCGTTGTGCAGAAAGAGGGGTTAATGTAAACAGTAGCAGTAGACAAGTAAAATCGGACAAGCAACAGCTTGCTAGATGGTTTATAAGAACCGTAGATTAACTGAGGTCTACTACGTCAACGTAACAGGAAAGCAAGACTAAGGATCACTAGTCGCCGAGTCACTAGTGTCAACTCCAGAAAACAATGGCGCGTGGCAAAAAACAGCCATTAAGTGCTAGTTTTGACTGCTTGTAATCAGGAAATGATAAGTTGTTAGCATTTTGTGCATATGATCGCTGTAAATGACAAGAGGGAAGAACGTGTGTGCTGTTTGGATGGTGAAGTGGACTTGGGGTGGTGTGACCCGACTAAGACGAAAGTGGCAAATCCTTGCACGTCGACGTTACCCGTGAGCTTTACACAGTACCCTCAGACTACCCCATGCATAAGTGTTTTTATTATTTATTTTTTTTAAAACAAACGGAAGGACAGTTGTCGTTCACTTGCATTTATTGGTGTTGCGAGACAAGTGACAACCAGAACAAGTCCAATGCAGCTACAGACAAACAGCAACGGTGCTCTTCTTGGTTTTCCTGACTTAAAGACCAAGATCAGAACCACCGGCGATGAGCGAAACACCCGCGCTACTTAAGGGAAGGCGAGTAACAGAACGCACCATAGTACAACGTAACAAGATGACTCTCCCTACGGGGCGTACTCATCCACCACACGAGTTTTTCATCCCTCGTGCATGCTACAAGATCTACAGGGTAGCAAGCCACCGAGCAGTCATAATTGTGGTTTATGCATTGATAAATAACTCTAGCTATCAGATAGTTTATCCGGTCAGGGGGAAAGCCAGGTCAGTAAAACAGCTCAGTCATTTCGAACAAGCAACTAGCAAACAGCGACAGGAAGAGGCAAGTCACGGGGACAAGTGAAACATCAAATACCTTTTGGGCTATGGGAGTAAAATGGAGATGTTCAGAGCCCGTTAAAAGAAAACGAAGGTGTGGTGAACATTGACTCTGTTCCATTCATTCTGTTTAATGTATCTTTATACGCCTTTGTTTTACGATGCGATTGATTGTACGCCCGCGATATTCGAGAATGTACGATATTCATTCGTCCATATTCGGACTTCTATACCACGCGTACATTCGGTAGTTAAGATACCTACCACTATTCTAATTATGACATTTGGCTTCGCGATCCGGAATTTTTTTCTCTTCATCACAGTGTTATCCGAATTGGAATCGCTCAGTGTAAATTCAACTGCACGGGAGGTGG